CCAAAGTTGAGAAGCAAAAGAGTAAGTGGGAACCTTCAGTCATCTCTCACGTGTGTTGGCATCAAACATTCTTCCAAGGCCCATAAACCAGGCAGGGCCATTAGAATGTAAACCAAACCAACACACTCCATAAAGATATCCTTTCCACAAAATGGTGTGTGTGTGTATGTGTGTGTGTGTGTGTGTAATATAAACTCAGCCTTGGGTTAGATATTCCTAACATGTTATTTCAATTAGATTTTTTTGTCTTCCTTTTATATGCTTGTTGACTTTAAAATATGTCCTCAGGGCAATCCATGGCATCTTATAAATGATCTCTGGCTTGCAAGTGACCAAAACAAGTATTGTTCATCCATAAGCATTATCGCTACATAACCATTTCCTTCAAATAGAAAGTAAACTTTGAATTCCAAATAATTAATAATGAAGTATATGATGAGTTGTGCCAACTGCCTGCTTTTTTTGTTCCTTACCTTGGCCATGTGTAACTTGCATGAATAATGTATTCATATATGCTTGTTATCAAATATTTGTCATGCTATCTAACAGACTATATAAGGTAATTAAACTTGACATTTAGTATTAAAATAATAATGTCATATGAAATATTTAAAGTCTTTGTTTTGAGTAAAAAAGTAATGCTGGTGAACACAAAAGGGCTGTTTGTTGCCTTTTATGGTAACTTTGATGATTTATAAATATTGTATCTCCAGAGTCACAGGACCGTTCCCCTCTTCCAGACAAAATACTGTCAAACAACACGCCCATAGCTCCAGACTCATATGTTTATCTCACACTATAAAAACAATTTTTATGTTTGAAGTACTAACACATAGATTTCCTCCCTTCAGAAAACCAAATTAGAATGCAGAGTATTAGCCACAGTGGCTGCCAAAATGCCAGACCCCTTCCCCAAATGAAAGGTTCCTCTAGAACAGTGGTTCTAAACCTTGCTAATGCTGCAGCCCTTTAATACAGTTCCTCATGATATGGTGACCCCCAACCTTAAAATTAGTTCTTCATGTTGTGTTGACCCCCAGCCTTAAAATTATAGCAATGCTACTTCATAACTGTAATTTTGCTGCTGTTATGAATCATAAATATTCTGTGTTTTCCAATGGTCTTCGGCAACCCCTATGATGAGGTCATTTCTCTGCCCCCTCCAAAGGGGTCATGACCAACAAGTTGAGAACCACTGCCCTAGGGGCTCCTAACTGGACTTTGCTATTCCTTCCACCTAGTCTACAGGGTCTCCCAGGAACATGAGGTGGAGTCAGGAACGAGAAAACTTCCAACAGATTCTAGTGACTGTGGCTCCTTAGGGGAGGATGGCAATGGAGCTGTGGAGACATGCTTCTTTAATCCCAGCACTAGATCTGCATAAGCAGTTCAGGGCCCGCTACATAGTGAACAAAAAGACACTTGAGTTTGCCTTCACTTTTGCTCCCCCCTTGACTGAGGAGGGGCTGCAGACAGGCAGGCACGGTGCAGAGGTCATCATCGTCCATTTGGAGTGCTGTCTGGTCTTCTGCAGCTGGCTTCCTTTAGCTGTTCATGCATTAAGAGAGCTATTGGCCAAGCATCATCTTCAGACACTGGGACACTCACCCCAAACACCCTCTGGTCCTCTAAGCATCCTGTTGGTGTCCGTATAGTTCACAAAGCTTCACAAATGGAAGGTAAAGATGTCCACAAAGGAGAAAATTTCATACTGAGGACTAACTCTTTCAGTTGGTGTGTTAAAAACTGCTCTTCTTTAATCTGTGCTGATAGTCCTGTAATTCTACACCTTGCCAGCCAGTGCGGTATTGTCTCACCTAAAGGAAAACTGAATTATCACTGGATGCTGAGGAGTTTTCCCATTGCTCCAGTGGTTACATATATAGTCATAGGAGATTTGCTTCATTATTGACCTTTTCATCATGTACATTTAAGATAAGTGGATAAAACATGAATTGCTCAACCAGGCGGCAGTAGTGCACACCTTTAATCCCAGCACTCGGGAGGCAGAGGCAGGCAGATCTCTGTGAGTTCGAGGCCAGCCTGGTCTACAGAGTGAGTTCCAAGGACAGGAACCAAAACTACACAGAGAAACCCTGTCTCAAAAAAAGAGAAGGTATTTTTGATCAACCATCATATTTCACTATCAGGAAATATGCTTTGGTTGTTCAATGACAAATGGTCAGCCCTGAAAACATACACTCAAGTAACATTATATAGACTCAACAGGTTGTATTTGGGGATATATGTATAAACAAATATATATGTGCATGAAGTTAAAATTTCTCTTTAATTTCAGCAGCAAGAAGAAATTAAAACTTAAAAGTGGATTTATCATTTAATTATCACTAGTTCAGAGTTGATCAGAACACAAATATATTAGATGTGCTTGAAAATAAATTTTAAAACATTATACTGAGGCCTAAAAAACCTTTTAGTTTTTTTGTTAAGTATCTGGTCTCTTTAATCGGTGCTGAAGATACTGTAATTCTTGACAACCAATACTGTTTGTCTCACCTCAGGGTAAACTAAAGGGAAATGTTACTGTGAATGAGAATAAAGGAACTGAGGTATTTTTAGTTACTCTGTGTAACAGTTTAATGTTACTTTTTTTTATTGTTTTTTTGAGAGTGTCCTGCTACATAGTTCTGGCCAGGTTTGAACTCAGGATCCTCCTGACAGATCCTGATGAGTGCTGGTCTCACCACCGTCCCTCTCAGGCCTGATGACTCTGCCGCTCTTCCCCGTTCCTCCTCTTCCTTACTGCCTCTCTCCCTCTCTGCCCACTCTTCCATCCTTTCCCTCCGAGTTTTTTTTTTGGGGGGGCGGGGGTGAAATAGGGTCTTACTTGATTACCCAGGCTGGCCTAGAACTCATGATGATCCACCTGCCTTAGTCTCCTGAGGGCTGGAATTAGAGTCATGCACCACCACACCTGGTGACGTTATCTTAAAAAGCAAATGTACTCCATGCTATTTCTGGTTCTGTTCAGCACTAGCTAACCTTATTCTCAAATAAGATGAAGTAGTTGGTTTTTGTTTTAGCTGTGTTAATTTTTTCTACAGCTTTAGGAGGGTATACCATCATAAAATACATTTAGTTGCCAGTGAATTACTTTCACATTTTATCACAAACTTACAACTGGATTTGCTTCCTAGCTTTGAATCCTTTGCCCATTTTCTGTAAAAGCAGGAAGATTCCTCAGTAGGCTAATGGTGCGAGCTAACGGTACCGTCTTGAGCCTTTTCCTCTCTTTTGACATGTATGTATGTGTGTTTGTTACTAGGATGTGGGAAGTATTGCCATTTTATAAAAGAAAGAATTATAAATTGTAAATTTTTACAGCTAGTTGAGAAAAGTAGGTGTGCCTATCTTGGCAGACCTAACTGTATATGATCTATAAGGTAACATAAAATCTAAATGTCCTTCGTGAGTGGGTCTAGAAGGTGATGAGTTGAAGTTTCACAGGACTCGGTGCCACTGCTGAGAACTACCTTAGCTATCCAGAAATCCCAGCTAACAGTGCCCTAAGAACGATGTCTGAGAACGCTCCTGCCTAGTAGTTCGGGGTGCAGTTCATGAAGACATCACAAGAAAATGTCGCCCACTCCTCCATCATCTGTGGTGTTAGATAGTTGGCTCAGCTTTCAGGTTAGAACCCACACACTTCAGGGCACATCCTTCCCACCTCCTAAAAACCCAGGGAAATAGGGAAACTTGGGAAACCCACTTTGTTTTTATGTCTCTTTGGTTTACATTTTGCCTGGAGAGTAATAGAGAAGGGATACGCCCTTTTCTCCCTTTCCATATAAGAAAGTGAGACCAAAGGATCCTGTGAAAAATAAAGCATGAGAAGAACCCTCCAATGCCAAGAAAGCACATAGATGACCTTGAACTGGAACCAAAAGTTTCTGGCTTACCTCTGCAGAGTATCCTCATATACTTCTAGATCAGTGACTCCAATCTGATGGTGACCAACATGAGTGAAATCATACAACACAGGAGAGGCTAAGTGATGTGGTGTTGACCAGCATGGATTAAATGATACAGTTCCCAGTGTACAAGAAATGCTAAATGATTGCTCATTGGCTGTATTAAAAAGCTGAGAAGTTAGTGACAGCTATAACTATATCATTAGTTCTCAAGTCTTAGACAGGATTCACTCTAAGAAGGTCAGTTCTACTATTCAGGGTCCATTCCTGGTCTACTAGGAAGGGGCACTTTACAGAACTAGCCTGAAGTCTAGCTTAAGAGACTTGACCCTTGTGAACTCAGTCACAGCATGGAGTAGACGATGTCTTCTACAGCCAGGGGAGGAAACAGGAACCATGGAGCAGTAGTGCTGCCTTAGAGGTCCCAGAGCATCCTGGGTCACCATTCCAAAGGGAGCACGGTCTGGTTCTCTTAAACCTTCGAACTCAAGAAGAAAGTCCCTGCCATAACACCATGATTAAACTAAATGCTTATTGGAGCAGAAGCCAAGAAGGAATAGCTTTGTTCTGAAAAGCAGTTTTACCGATTTGATGCCTTTGACTCATATAAGATGTCTAACTCCGGATGATTACTAAGTTAGCTTTCTAGGTAATCACACAACTAAATTGAAAGGCTGGTGTGTGTGGGAATGACTCAGAGTCAAGGTATGACTTTAAATGTCATGGTAGGTAACTAGACAACTAAGATGTGTTTTCCCTTCGTTTATCATTAGTGAGAGACAGTTCTTTCGAATCTCTTCCTTTCTCCGAGTTGTGTCAGGTGGAATGAAGTATGGCTCTGAAGCTTCAAGGGGACTCTGAGAATTCCATACATCCATAGCACTTGAACTCTATAAAGCGGATACTTAATAGATTGCAAAAAGAAGTAGAATACATTTTTAGCTTTCAAGTATGTGCCCTGCAGTTTGAATAGAACATAGGATCCTTCTTAAGATAAATAAATCCTTAGAAAAACTTTAAAACAAGTTGATGATAAATAGCTTTTTATAGAGAGTGTGTTTCTTTCAGTAAAAGATGATGAGTGCGACTCCGATGCAGAAAATGAGCAAAACCATGATCCTAACGTGGAAGAGTTCCTGCAGCAACAAGACACGGCCGTCATTTATCCGGAGGCGCCTGAGGAGGACCAGCGGCAGGGCACGCCAGAAGCCAGCGGCCAAGACGAAAACGGTGAGTATGGCTTAGCACGTGCCTTTCTTCCTCAAGTTAGAGGGTGCTAGTTCTATTTCTCTGTCACAGGAATGTATTCCTATAAAGGGAACTCTGAGGAGAGCCAGACAGTCATGGGTACTCAAGAGAATCAGCACAGCGCTGAGTTGGGGACTGCTCTTGGATGGACTGACACACCAGGCACTGTCACACCAGGCACTGTCACACCAGGCACTGTCACACCAGGAACTGCCACACCAGGCACTGTCACACCAGGAACTGCCACACCAGGCACTGTCACACCAGGAACTGCCACACCAGGCACTGTCACACCAGGAACTGACACACCAGGCACTGTCACACCAGGAACTGACACACCAGGCACTGTCACACCAGGCACTGTCACACCAGGAACTGTCGACACACCAGGCCCTGACGACACACCAGGCCCTGACGACACACCAGGCACTGACACACCAGGCACTGTCACACCAGGCTCTGTCACACCAGGCACCGACACACCAGGCCCTGATGACACACCAGGCACTGACACACCAGGCCCTGACACACCAGGCTCTTCTGCGGTGCCTGGGTCACTTCCCGTTGAGATGCTGCTGCTGCCAGAAGGGAGGCAGACCTTGGCCCCTTCTGTCCTTGGGTAATTTTTGTTTGTTAATATTCTCCTAGCGAGTGAAATATGGTGGTCTGGTTGAAAGCATACAAACTTGGGAGCAGTAGTTTCTCTGGATGTGCTTTAGTCCACTTCAGGGTGAGTGAGTAAAGAAGGGTGAAGATACAATAAAACAAAAAAGATGCTCAAAACTCCTACCCAGAAACAGACCGCCAGTCTCTCCTTCCAAGAATAATAATCAAATGCAAATGACATGTAAGTGTCCCTATAGTTAATTTGATGTCATATTTGTCCTGAGACTAGGAAGAGTCTTAAAATTTTCAAGGATTCATCGAGTGTTAATTTCCTAAATTCTTCTTAAATTTTCCAGGGTTCTCCATTGAGTGGATAGATTTAGCTTAATATTCAAACAGTCAACTTTGAACTTTTTTGAGGAAATTGAGAAAAGATGGCATGAAGAAAGAAAACAGCCAAGATGTAGAGCGCTTGCCTAGCATGCACCAAGCCTTGAGTTCTCTCCTTAGTATGAAATAAACTGAGTGTAGTGGCACACACCTGTAATCCCCACACTTAGGAGATGGAGGCAGGGAGATCAGAAATTCAGGGCCATCCTTAACTACATAGTAAGCTGGAGGCCAACCTAAGCTACATGAGATCTTATCACAAAGATCTTAAAACAAAGACAGAAGAAAATAGATGCTATCATCAAGCATCTTGTATCTTGTTGAATCAAGAATCAACTGTATCTTTGTTAAATCAAGAATCAACTCTAAGAAAAGAGCAGGACAAGAACCAAGTGTGGTAATGTACACACAATTCCAGCACTAGCTGGAGCCAGGGGGATCATGAGTTCAAAGCCAACGGTGCTTCCTTGTATGGTTCTGTCTTGGGAGGGGCATAGAAAAGAAACATGGTTCAGTCTAGAATGGACAGGATTTCCTATAATGAAAGCTGTGGTAAGGAAGTAAGCATAGAACATTCAAGGACTGCTCCTCTAGCATGCTAAGCAGGTGGATTGGAAGAATGTAGTTGCCAGCTCAAGGGTCTCTGTGATTCAGTTGAATAATTAGTGCTTTGGGTTCTGTTAGGGCACTTAGAGAACTCATAGTTGCTATTGTTGTATTACTGGAAGACTACTGTTTCTACTTTCAATTCCTGGCTATTTGTTTCTAATATGTTTTCATTTCACTCAAAGATGCAGGAGGTTATAACAGACATGAAAGAGAAATGGAAAAAAGTTAAACATATATGTAAAACTTTTTTATAACAAATAATTTTTTAAAAGCCTTGATAAAAAAAAAATACAAACATACAGGTTTGTTCCATCAATCGACCCAGTATGTTCAGCCTTATGAGGGTTGTCGTTGCCAGTCAGTGCAGTAAACACCCCACCCCCACCCCGAGTGGGGGACTAACTGCTCTGAAGTAGTAAACATTTGAATTGTCGAGTATGTATCCAAACAGCCATAGCCACTGTGATTTCCTGAGAGCAGTGGCCGTGGCATACGAGAAGACAGCATTCAGAGCACTTCTTCCTGTCCTGACCACTCACATCCTTCAGCCTTTCTTCCCACATTGCTCCCTGAAGTTTGGGAGAATCAGTATCAATGTACTGTTTGGGCTGCGCATTCAACAGTCAGTTATTCCCGGCACTTTGACCAGTTGTGAGTCGGCCTTACTGCTGTTCACTTCAACCAAGGTTGAAAGCAGCGCTAATCCACGGTCTAAGCAGAAATATCCAGAAGGCAGCGTGACAGCATGACCGTTTAGCAAGATAGTGGTAGCAGGTTCCCCCAGCACCCGTGACTTCCCCACCAGAGGCTTTGAGCAGGCTAACAGTGTCCGACATGAATCCCTCCTGTGGAGCAGGCCTCCAGCTATTGGCTGTCCCCAAAGCAGTCGGGCCACTGTTTCTCCAGTGGGCACATTGTTCCTGGCAGCTCAGTGTTGCAATAGGTAGGGTCTACCAGAGGCTAAGTTGATTGACAGCTGTCCTTCCTAGTGACCCTACTTTGCACCTTCCAGCACTAGAAAAGCTAACCAGCAGGAAGCTTCCCAGTAAGTTTGAGATTGATTTTGCTATGTCCTGAAACCAAAGTGCATGGTGTCTTCAGGAATAGGGCCTGGCCATCTAGTTCTGATGAGCAGCCAGGAGTAATGACAATAGCCTGAATTTTGGGGGCTCCTGGGGTCTCCCTGACCAGTAATGCTTCAACCCCTAGCACTACGGTCCATTTAATATCCATATCTTCTGAGGAAGCATTGTCCACCTGGGCAGGCTACCACCATTCAGACTCCTTTTTAAATTGTATTTTTATTAATTAGCTTATAAAGTAGTAGGGTTCCACAAGGCTTTTTCATACATTCATAGTTTTGATCAACCCACCCTAGCTCCTTTATTCTATGATTCTTAAAACACATTCACATTTACTTTTTACTGTATTTTGCTAGTGACTGAAAAGAAGAAATCCCTACTTCATGTTTAAGAGGATCCAATATACTGATTTATGAAAATAAGTTGCTATTCAAATAGCATAACCTTCTGTCATTTTCTCCGCTCGTTAACAGTTTGCTTACTAACTGTACAGTCGAATCATGAAGGCAAACTGTAGCACATAATGAGCACGCACAGCTCCCTGGCACCCGGGGAAGAGCAGTTCTTCAGTTAATGGAACCATGGGCCATTGCCATGCCGGCAAACACCACGAGCAGCAGATCTTGCCTTTTGGCATGATCACTACTAGAATCAGTCAGGTGCACTAGGCGTTCTGGCAAGGGGGAGGCCCCAAAATGCTGGTTTCCCATTGGCCTGTGCAAAACATAGCACGGTTTTCTCCAAAAGAAGAGTCTATGTTAGAATGATCCTTAACCAAACTCTCCGGATCAAGTGCTTTGCTAGCTAGCAGCTAAAGATGCCTCGGTGAACTTTGGAGCTCTGGTTATTTGATTTTTACTCACATATTTGTAGATATTTCAACATACTTGACTAGTCATTTAAAGTTCAGGTTTTCAGTCTCTCATCTGCAGGCTTGTCTTTAAGTAAGACATGTAGTTTACATGGACTTGACCTCCAGTAAAGCAATATGTGTGTATAATAAAACATCTAAAGAGTATTATCAAACTACCTTAGGTCGCCTATTTCTATGAAGAATTTAAAATTAAAGAAAGTAGAGAGTCTATTTACAGTAAGATGTTACTTATGAACTAATTTCTTTAAAAAATAAAGAAATAAAATATGGGAAACGACTCAGTAGTATTAGTCGGCAGAGTATTCCCGTTTAGGATCATCAGTCATGGTGCTCCAAGGTGTGAACTAAATCATGTGACCACACCTGACTCCAGGGCGCCTTGGAAACTGCACTGCTTACTTGTGCCAGTAACTTACAGTGTCGTTTTCAAGTGGAAGGGAGTTCGTGCTGAGTAAGCAGTGGACTGTCATGAGCAGACTCTGCACGGAGCTCCCACACAGTGCGCGCGTGCTTACCCGTGTGACTCCATCCTGATTTCACCTGTGTCTCTTCAGTTAGCCGTACACACCAAGGGAAGAAATGGTTCTGAAACAGGGGATTCGAAAGCTGGGTGAATGCTGAATTAATTGTTTGCTTTCTGTGTATTTATTGTCACATTTGTTTCTTTCATAAATGGAAGTCCATCGTTTGAGGGCAGATGTAAAGTGAGCGGCTCTACCGCTGTGTGTGGCCCGGGGACTCGGTGGTAGCTGACCATATTGCTTGGATGCTTTAAGTTACAGTGTCCCTTCCCTTCCCAGGAACACCAGATGCATTTTCCCAGTTGCTCACCTGCCCATATTGTGACAGAGGCTACAAGCGCTTTACCTCTCTGAAAGAACACATTAAGTACCGCCATGAGAAGAACGAGGACAATTTCAGCTGCTCCCTGTGCAGTTACACCTTTGCCTACAGGACCCAGCTTGAACGCCACATGACATCGCACAAGTCAGGAAGAGAGCAAGTGAGTGAGAGAAGCAGGGGCTGCCACCCTCCCACTCCTGGGGAGCTTTGGGACAGGCGGCCCCTGGGGCACTTACAGGCCATGCGGGGAAGCTGCCTTGGGCGCAGTCTTACAGACACGAGAGGGTGGTTAGTGAGTTCTCTTCTCAGGTAAGGCCTTGCCATCCTAACTTGTTTTGCATAAACCATAACAAGTATCCCTCTGAGTCAGAGAGACCACAGGGTATGTTCTAGCAACATGTTTTCTGTAGGAAAATAAATATTGGTCTTTAAACCGCTTGACTTTGGCACTAACCAAATCAAGGGGAGGCTTCAATTTTTTTTATTTTCCTGGAGGTAGTGACTACTAAGTATAAGGTACTATGGTTTGTCTGCAGTAGAAAAGGAAGCTGCCTCCTCTATAAAGTCTGAGAATTTTTAGCCCGAAGACTCAACTTGGATGGCTTAGTCACCGTACACATTTTCTAGAAGTATAAACTGAGTGTTTGGGCTGGAGAGATGGCTCAGCCGTTAAAGGCTAGGCTCACAACCAAAAGTATAAACTGAGTGTTTGTACGATAAATTACATTTCAAGTGTCGGCTTTCTAGTTAAGATTAAAATCAAAGCAGCATTAGTAATTGTTTTTTTGTTTTTTGTTTTTTTTTTTACAATGTCCTGGTTGGGAACCGTCAGCTACCAGCAAGCAAGCTGATACCTGTTTCCATTCACTTTACAAACCAAAGTACCAGTGTAGCCGGGTGCTGTGGCCAGTAACCGAGTACCAGTGTAGCGGGGTGCTGTGGCCAGTAACCGAGTACCAGTGTAGCAGGGTGCTGTGGTCAGTAACCGAGTACCAGTGCAGCGGGGTGCTGTGGCGGAGGTCTGGGTTTCAGCACTGGTCCAGCTCCTCACATCACAGGATCATGAACACACACCGGGGAATTTGTGAGAACTCTGGGGGGGGGGATTTGTGAGAACTCTGGGGGGGGGTTCTTCTCTAAGGCACTTGTCCCACAGGAGTCTTCACGCCTTCACTCAGTTGATGGATAATGTCTATAAAAAAGTCAACAAGGGTTGGGGATTTAGCTCAGTGGTAGAGCGCTTGCCTATCAAGTGCAAGGCCCTGGGTTCGGTCCTCAGCTCTAGGGGGGGAAAATGCACACATAGGCAAATATGCCTAGCTAGGAATGGGAATGCAGATATAAAAATAAAAATAAATACACATGGAAAAAAAAGTCAACAGAAAGAAGAAACAGTCAACCTGCTTGCTCAGGACTTTGACATCACTCACGAAATCTAGTAATAAGGAGAGAGTGGTACTGAAGGAAAGGACCAGGGTTTGCAGCGGTGACCTAATGGTGAAGTCTGAGAGGAGCCATTGAAAGTGGAAGAAGGCCTGCCCTGGAAGGAGCTAATGGGGAGTGGCCGCCTGCTCCTGGGCCTTGCTGAGGTGGCCTGCCAGGAACAGCCCCACAGAGTGCTCTCTGCATTAGAGGCTGGTGCAGCCACAGCACAGCCGAGGCTTAGGGAGGAGATGTCTGTGGGACTTCTGAAAGTAGACCTGCTCCACAACTGCCGCCATCTTGCCTCAGTAGTGAAGGCCCTTGCCAAAGAGTAGACAGACATCAAAGCTGAAATTACTCCATAAAAACAAACTCTTAAAATCTGCAATGACCATGACGACCACTTTTGTGAGGATTTTTCTGGTGGGTGTGAACTAAATGGAGCTGTGATGAGGATTGGGGGGCAGTGTGAGAAAAGATGGCTGAGGGGTCTTGGAAACCCTTCAGGAATGTTGGTCCTTCAGGCCTGTGAAATCACACTATGACTAAGGGGTGAGCATTTCCATGTCTTAGAGAGGTATGTACGTGCTCGATACATATTTCCATTTCTGTTACATGTCAGACCCCCATTCCAGGTAATAAGGACCCAAAAGGAAGAGGACAAAGTCCTAACAGCAGGGAGCACACACAACTGATACAAACGAAACTAAAATGAAAAAAATTAAAGTGTATTCAAAATCATCAGATTAAGGCATATTTTAGAAACATCAAACATACACGAGCTATGCCTTATACTGAAATGGACCTGGTACTCTAGTCAGGTCCTTGTTCTGTTGGCAAATCTCTATAGACAGCCTGTCTTCTTTATCTTTAATCTAGAGTGCAGACAAGACCATCCCTAAATCCTAGCAAAACATATACTACTCTACTTTGGGTAAATATTCTGTATTTGTGACTGCTACAATTTCAGGCCTGTAACAGACGAAGAAATCATCAAACTCATCTGGAATGTGAGACATAAAACACCAATTCTTTCTTGCAGAGACATGTGACGCAGTCTGGGGGTAATCGTAAATTCAAGTGCACTGAATGTGGAAAAGCTTTCAAATACAAACACCACCTAAAAGAGCACTTACGGATTCACAGTGGTGAGTATGTGCCCTCTTCCTGCATCCTGTGCAACCATGCTGTCAGTGCTCATGAGTCAGTCTGTCATGACAGGTCCACATGTGTAAGGATTACTTGCTGCCTTTTGTTTGAATGGTATTGTAGTAGTATATAACCTCTAAAGTATGTAATACAGCAAACTCCATGTTCCCACGTGAATATAGTACAAGTGAAGATAGCCTTTACCTGAGAAAAGTAAAAAAGGACTGAATAAAATTGTGGACAGGTGCTCTGGACCCAGAGAGCTAACGCAACACAAAGAGGAAGAATTGTAGCATAAGTGAAAATTTAAAAGAAAGATGTATCTCCAGAGTCTGTACCTTTCTATTTCACATCAGTTTGCATTGTTGTGTAGATTTAATGACAAAAGTTTATAAAGAAAATTTAGCAATCCCACATCACACTGTCAGATCGGTTCTTTTGATTAAAATCGGATGTTTTTTATTTAAGTAAGTAAGTTTAGTGACAAAACCATCAACCAATGAATGTGAGAACGTGGCGTTTGGTATCACCGACCTCATGATGGTTAATGCACTGATGAACCCCCAGGCAGTTGTGGGCTGGCTTTGTGAGTAGTGGTAGTTCTGTATCTTTTGGAATTCCATTTCTGGAACTCTCACTGTATCAACCATTAAATTAACCCTCAGTGATATATAGGCCAAAGTCATTCCCTGAAAATGCTCAAACCAAGATCCTTAAAGGGAGCTCTTATTTATCTTCACATATTATTTATTAATGTTTCTAGAATGTACAGGTTATCTCCTGCAGCCTGCACAGTGTGCTAATGTACAGTGTACTATTCCTTAGCCCCCTGTGTTACTGAAAGTGCTCACTGATAATAGTCTTCCTTCTTACTAGAGATGATTTGAAATGTTAGCTAAACACAGGGTTTATAAGTGCTGAAATTAGGGTTAAAGAACAAAAATAAGCCGGGCGGTGGTGGCGCACGCCTTTAATCCCAGCACTCGGGAGGCAGAGCCAGGCGGATCTCTGTGAGTTCGAGGCCAG